GCCCACCCCCCGTGCTAGCGTGATGTACCATTAGTCATATGAGTCAGCTATTTCGGGCCCCCTCGATCGATACATGTAATTAAACATTTTCGTAGACGAATCCGGGTGCCTAATAAATATTATAACCGTATATTATTATGCTTGCGTCTCGCAATGAATAAAAAAGTTATAATTATTTTTTAAGTTCGGGCTCGAATTCCCGCCATCTTAATTTTAAATTCAAATAAAGAACCCCGAAATGTATCAACTGCAGTTGTGTTTCGTATACCTAAATACAATAAGAAAGTTTAAAGAAGGCATAATTATTTTTAAGTTTTCTGTGATTTCCCGCCATATTGATTTTAAATTTAAATAAAGAACATCGAAATGTATCAACTGCAGTTGTGTTTTATCTAAATATAATACAATAACAAAGTTTTTAACTGTAAACTCTGTTGAACAGAAACGGTATCATACCAAGATAATTCGTTGTTTATTAATTTTAAATTTATAACTTTATGAATGTAAAATAATAGTGTTGTTTCCTTTCGGCTATAAATAGTTGTTTTTCTTTAAAGTTTGTTGCTTACATTGATTTAAATATAGAATTTGAATTTCGTCTAACAATATTCAACAACATTTTCTCAACTCATTTTTGTAAACTTTTTCTTTCTTTGTCATAGTCATTGTAAGCAATAATTAATTGCAACGCGTTAGTTTTTTTTTAGGAAATAAATTACAACCTACTATATTCGGTACTAAGTCAACTTAGCTCCTTTCTAAAAGTGACAAAATTTTTAAACTCGTTTGTGTTAACCAACAGATAGTTCAAAAATCAAAACTTCCTCCTTGTAATAATAATACCCATAGAATACAAATAAAATTTTCAGCAACTTTTAAAATGATATAATGTTTTAAAAGACTTTTTGTTCTCAATCTGTCAATAATTTATGCATTAAAAATATAATTTGAATTGTGATCGAAACGTTCCAATTTTGAACAAAGAGATAAAAAAACCAATAATAAAAGTCGATTATCTTCGAAATTTTGAGAAGGACACGTTTTCGGTCGGAGCGGCGTCTGTTCAATAATGAGCTCAAACATGTCCACTTCAATTTGATACATCCTTACCCTAGCTCGCTCGGAAAAATGAACTGTAGACGCGACCCGTAATACGTTTCAAGGGTTCAAACAAAACTGGCCGCTGAGCGGGAGTGACAGCCGCGTTCGAATTTCAAAAAAAGAATCATTCTTTTTCGAACTTGACTTTTCCACAAGTCATCGTCGCGGCCAGTGTTCTCTGTGATTAATACTTTGGGCCTTTTTTCCTCGCAGGATTGTCTATGGTTGCTTTTTTTCTCGAGAATTGGTGATATTATGAATTTCTGTAAGCGCTGCCTTTGATGATAATGGAATTCCTATTGTATGTTCATATTTCTTTTACGATAACATCTGTCGCATTGTTAAACAATTTCACTATTGCTAAGTATTCTGCCGTCCAACCATTCATGTATTACAGGCAATACAACTCAATTACCTTCTCTATAAATCTATACTAACATATAAAGGTGAAGGGTTTGTTTGTTTGAAAGTTTTAATCTCCAGAACCACAAAAAGGCTTAAAGATTTTTATAAATGAATATTTTAACATACACTATACTCTATTTAAGGTCTTACTACATACATTTACATGTTTAATAAAAAATAAAATAAAAAAATTAACTGTTTAAGTTAATTTTTCACTAACTGTTCCGTCAAAGGGGCTTGAAAGTAGTTGAAAGAGACATCCCAAGTTATAAAATTAACCTATATTCTGTATACCAGTTATCTACGGTTACTCGTTATGGCTGTGATTTAAATGGGCTATCCAACACTTCAATATTAATCAAAATCGGTTCAGTCTGTGATTTAAATGGACTATCCAACACCTAAACAATAATCAAAATCGGTTCAGTAGATTTTACCACATATTATTAGTTACCACATATTATAATATTAGTAGACATACATATTTAGTCGCCTTTCATTACTCACTCACCTATTTCATATATTTACATACTGTACATACTTTCTTTTATCGTAATATTGTTTTTTTTACTGAAGTACCTTTAATTTTGTATATAAGTACATACATGCTTTTATTAATAATATAGTTTTTTAATTGACATAAAAAGAGCAATATAATTGTATAATAAAAATAATGTAAATAGTTCAGAGTATAATTTGATATAATTTTAACTGAGTGGTAATGATAAAACGAAAAAAAAAAAAGAAAATATTAATAAGACAAAACATAGAAAAAAAATATTAAAAATCATTATATGAGATTGCAACCGCTAGCCAAGAAATTTCTGTGGAATGACTAAAATTTGTTTTTTTAATACAAACAGTAAAGTATTCTTTGTGATGTTTTTTAAAACTGTGTACGGTAGTCAGATGTCTGAATGGTGGCGGGATGTTCCAACATTTTGTTGCTTGGTAGCGGAAGCTGCCAGTATATGGTCTATCGGCGCTACCGTGGCAGATTGCCGTCGTCAGTGCCGTGACCATAGAGACAATTTTATTTACATATTTTATTATTATTTCTTATGTATGTTAGTCTATAAAGTATTTAATATATGGGCCATGTAGCCTGAATTAAATAAATAAATAAATATGCCACAGTTCTGTGTACTTGAAATGATAATTTCGAACAAATGAATCTATGAACTATGTAATTATTCTATATACTTATACCTACCTCCCTACCCTGTAATACCTTATACACTTTAGAGCTTAACAAAACCCCAATTCTGCTCACAACAATGAGAGATGGGTATGAATTGATTTTAATTCAACAATAAAATTATTAATGATCCAACTCCCACAGGATTGAGACGTTCTCTGGCAGTACATTAATCATAATGTATGACAATATGGGGATCAGGACAGAGCATGCAGCCATACATACATACATACAGTGATAACCATACAAAGTATTGTAGTGTTACCATTATCCATAAATTCAAACCATTCTGTTTTCCTTGGTTCCTTACTTTTTAAAAGAATTATTAAAATATTTGCGTGTTGGATTATTAAAACAATATATTATATGTTTTTGTAGAAAAAAATTACCTAAAATTCATAGCGCTGACAATATTATCTGATTGCACTAAGAATGAATAAGTAGCGGTTTCTATGTTGATTATCGCATGCCTCTTACTTATTATAGTGTAATTATTTATTAAAAAAGAAGATTTATTTAAAAGAGCAACACACAAGTTTCTCGCTAGTTCTTATTGTGATGAGTCTGCGTTCCGAATGAGTGGTAGAATAAAAAATATGACTATTCAAAAGTGCTTGTAATGAGTTTATTTGAATAAAGATTATTTTTATTTCTACGTCAATCGATTTAAAAAAATATATATGTTTTTGTTACTGCTACCCCCTAAAATGTGAGTAGGTATGGGGTAGTAATAGATTAGTAAGTAACTTTCAGAAATTAATGCATTTATATCCACCACTGTTACTTAATTTCAAAGACAAAAACAAAACAAAGCCAAACATAACTAAACCTAGTATTTCACATGTCAGACAAAAAAAATACATATTTGGTTAAAAAATCTCCGTGAAAATCGATTTACAATTGTTTATCACTGAAAATACATAAAAAACACATGAAACATCTCCTTTTTTTAAGTCGGCTAAAATGTAAATTCACGGGCACCATTTCTTTATACTACATACAGCTAATACCAGTTCAATCAACAAACAATTTCAATACAAACCAAGCAGAATATACACGAGGGTGCTTGCAGACTCCCCTTTACAATAGGGGTTGTAAATACGTAGGGTTCAACCCTACCCTATATAATATATATATAAATCAAAAAGGTTACTACCTATGTTTATGTTTTTGTTTGACAGCCTCGGTGTAGTGGTTTAGCACTCCGCTTTACTTCATGGTCGCGGGTTCGATTCCTCGGCGATGAAAACATTTGTATTGATATGAATGTTTGTATTGGTCCCTGTGTTTTCTATGTATGTTATGTATGTATTTACCAAAAACAATGTATTTTACTATTTCTATCAGTTATATATACATATATTTTGTAAATACATTCATATTATACATAGAAAACACCCAGACCGATACAAACAATCATACTTATGAATACAAAGGTTTGTAAGTAACAAATATATTTTTAAATATACCCAAAATCGCTTTATAATTCTGCATTCTCTTTCTTTTTCTCTCTCTATAATCCTAATATATAAATATAATAAAATACCAGATGATATAACGACACTTCCACGAGGACGATTGACATATAAATTAAATAGTTGGTTACTCAACAAATGTTTTTACTCCGTAAACGAGTTTTTAAATTAATAACAGTGTAATAATAATAATAATATGTATTTGTAATTCTCTGATGACAATTGATTTAATAATTAAATAATATTTAATATATTGCAAAATTTATATATTTTGCATGCCTAACGAGGCAAAACATAATGGGACATTATATTACAATAACAACCAATGTAAACCTATGTTTAGTGCAAATAAATTTGATTTGATTTGATTTAAAATTCTCGTGTCACAACGTTTGTAACAAAACTCGTTTGAAACGACTTGACCGTTTCTTATGAAATGTGTACATTCAGTAGGTCTGAGATAAACTGTTCGGATCGGACATAAACTGTTTTTCATACCCCTAAGTGAAAAGGGTGGTCCAATTCAAAATTAATTCTTTTTGGTAATTTTTTTTATTATTCGGCATAATTAAAAACTACCTGCCTATATCTACATTTTTATTCTTTTATCCCTATTTATTTAATAGTAAAATTAATATATATTACAAAACTACGTTTTCTGAGTTACTTAGTATTAGAATAAATTCTAAATAAATATAATTATTAATCTATATGGGAATAAGTATTAATGTATTCTAATACCAACATTAGAATACATTTTAAATATAATAACTAATTTACTTTTCGAAGTTGATAAAAAAACTAATATAAAAATAACTCACCAGTTTCCGTGTCCACAGTATACGAGAGTCCCGCCCAAGGATCATCCTGAAGCAAAATTGGCTATCAAACTACATAATATACCTTCACGACTACTATACCGCATGGGGTAGACAGAGTCATTGTCAACTGTGGTGGTGGTGGTGCACGCAACACTTGACATGTCCACATTTCGCTCGGTAGACCCCCTCCGATCGTCCAATTCAAACGGGGATCAAAATTACGACGGCCTGAGCCGAGGTTCGAACCCCTAGCGGTGCCCTCAGACTGGCGTCGTATCCGTCAGGCGGTAGTTGTCCTTCAGCCGCTCCATAAGTCCTTCTTTTGGTTTGGAGTGCCATCATTTACTAGCTGTACCTGCGACTTAGTCCGTGTGGAATTTAACTTTATTTTTCTAATGTAGCGTAAGTTATTTATTTATTTACTTTACCTTATTACATCAGCAAAACCTGTCAAATACAATTAAATTCGATAACTAGTATTAAATATAAGTAAAAAAAGTATAAAACCATACCTCTTTAACTTCAGTATCCAACAGCGACGCCTTCACCTTTTCAATCTTCTCCGTTTCTTCTTTCTTCTGCTGTATCTTCTCCTCTGCCAGCTGGAGCTCTTTATCCAACTCGTCACTGACGACCTTCGTCGCTTGAGGACCCTCCTGATGAAAATCCATCAACTTTTTTATATTTTTTTAATTTCAGTGCATTCTGATCCCAAACCTCTGCGTAGCTCCCCCTGGTACCCATCATTAAACATTTTGGTGAATTCGTTATGTTGAGCTACCTGTCGTCGTCCACTGGTGCCCCGCCAGCATAAACCGTTAGCGCAGGCGGGTGCACCATTACATTATCAACCATTAAAAATCCCAAACTGAAGGAGTAAATGGGATTGTTTGTAATTTGGACTGACCTAATCTACATTAAAAGTTTTTGGCTTATATGTCACGATACGCTACCTGACCTGCCCTCATCCTTAACTGGTACCAGCCATTGTAACCCATCAGCGCAGGTGGGTGCATTCCATTATCATACATTAAAAAAAATCGATTTTAATAATGGTGTCTCCAATAGATAGCTTCATTATTAGAGTCATACAAGCTATGTACATTCGACGCACGTAACGCCGCGGCATATAGCTAGTCTTCTACTTGTTCAGATATAATTTACATATAACATTAAGACGAGAAATAAAATATATATACAACTGTATATAACACCACGCTACGACCAAAAGGAGCGGAGCTGCAATGAAAGATGTTAAAGAATCGAGGAAAATAGAGGTACGCGGGTCAGATATAAAAAAATTCAGGTATCACTATAAAAAATTTAAACTCACCGGCTGGACAGGGTCCTCGAGAGAGAAGCCCATATCCACATCCTGCTTCCAAAGGACCTCGATAAGGTCCATGTCCTGTAACAAAAGAGAAATAACATTTTAAAACGGAATTTCATGATAAAACATTTACAATAAAAAATTTATAAAAACGATGTTACATAAAAAAAATTACAATAAACAAATCTGATGTTTATTTGAGATTTGTTAAAATTCTAGATAGTCTCATTTAAAAAAGAATGAACATATGCAACCTCTTCGCTAAATTATATTAAATAGCTTTTTTTGGTTCGGTTTTTGGGCAACGCAAAAGGAGTCAGCCCATAAAGCCATGTCTTCGACAGATTAAATTACATTTTATGAAAAAAATGTACAGCTGTCAAATTTAAATGTGTCATTCCTAATTATCATTGGCGCGAAAATAGAATATTTTACTCTAGTATTGTCTAAATGAACTGAAATATTCGATGTCTTTCCTAAATAGAATAATCCTTACCTCCTTACTAATATTATAAATGCGAAAGTTTGTAAAGTATGAATGGATGGATGTTTGTTACTCTTTTACGCAAAATTCGTTCAGTGGTAACCGAACGAATTTTGATGAAACTTTACAGTAATATAGCTTCTTACATCAGAAGAACACATAAGCTACAAATTTCGGGTGAAACCGCGGGCACAGCGTAGTGTTCTACACGAAAGAATACTTTTGACTTTAATAAGAAAACCCGTAGTTTATTTTACCGGCCGAGGTCGGAGGTCATTAACTCCACTATTCATATTTGGAACGCATTGTAGACGTTTCGCGTTACAATCGAAGACATCTTTTTTTCAAACTTGTTGAATCTGACCATCGACAAGCTAGAGTATTCTCATGGCGGGCCAACAAAAAATAAATACTCATTATCTATAACTCGATCTCAGACATGGCGTCTTCAGTAATAGCCGTTTTATCGCATACCTCATCTGTGTTTTACATCGTTTTACATCCGAAGTTGTGTAGCGTGTTCGAGTGAGACAGATAATTGAATATATGTTATAAATAATAAGGAATTTGGTTTTTAGCATATTTTTATATTTATATTTTATATATAAATATAAAAATATGCTTATATATTTTTTGTTTTTTTAATTTAATCCAACATGCTAAGGCATTTTGGTTTTATACATTTGAGAGCGAAATATCAAGTTTTTTGTTCAGCATGACATCGACAGTCGACAATGCCTCAAACTATCCCATATGAATACAGTCATTAAAGAATAATATTTATTATATGTACTCCATTTTTTTATGTAATTGGAATAACAAGCTGAACCCCTAGCGGTGCCCTCAGACTAAAGTCGTATCCGTCAGGCGGGAGTTGGACTTCAGCCGCTCCATAAGTCCTTCCTTTGGTTTTGAGTGCCATCTGCACTCGCCCCCTAACGTCCGGTGAAGATGTAAAGGCCAGCTGCGGCCAACAGCATCAGAGTAGACAGAAAAAGAAATTTTCACTATGAAGAACTAAGATGTCAAATTCTCTCTTCAATTGAAACAGCTTACAAAGGAAGATGGCGGCTAAAAAATGTAAGACTGATGTACACGCAGTTTACTTTATCTACCACAAAGTCTATCACATGTTTCTGTTTGTAATATAGATCTCTATAATAAGTGCAGACAGAATAATACAATTAAATTTTACTGAACGCATTTAATCCGCCATGTTTAATTGGCTTTATCCATGCTACATAAAAAAGTAAGTTACATTCTTCCCCAAATCAAAATCAATCTTAAGAATAAACAATATGAATCATTTTAGATTATTCATCGCCGAGATTGTGTTCTTTTATTGTTTTAAATTAGACGCGATTGACATACGTATTAAACTAGTTTGTATGTTAATGTATTATATATTTTGTTCTACATTAATAAGGTCTAGTTTTAAATGGCATTTGTGTGTTTGTTATCACATATTGATGTAAATCACTTGACACCCATAGAGCGCAAAGGCTTTATTTTTGTGATCGAAGTTCAGTGTGTAGGTATAACGTAAAACCGGTTATTGTAGACTGATCCACCCTTTGCAATAGTGATGGGACGTGGCGGAAGTGTAGTAATGAGGACCATTTTCATGGATGAATAGTGATGCACCCGCCTACGCTAACGGTATACGCTGGCAGGGCACCAGTGAAGCATTATAAGATGAGAATTAAGTCAGGTAAATTACCCTTGTTTGTTAACTATCGTGTGACGCACCATTAATTAAAAATGGTAAAGTCAATAATCATGTAACCTGAAACGGAACGTCAGAGGCCAGAGCCAAAGTAATCTATGTGACATTGACAAGTGGATGACGGATGATGGAACGTAAGCAGCGGGAGTTTTGGAGCGAAAAAGTTGAAGTGTTTATATTATTATAAAAACAAATAAGAGATAGGTAATTGTGAATATTGTAGGCATTGAGGTGTTTCTCTCCCTGACTAACCGGTATTACGCCTAAGTCGTCAGGATACTAGTGATTCTAAAAGTTCAGAAGCGGTACCAATCCCGCCTACAAATTCGACCGTAAGGTAATTCTGACTAGAAGTTGTGGTAAGTGAGTTTACGTTAATAACACGCATACCATTAAACGCAGTATCTCACTTGTTTTATTGAACTTTTGGATGAATTGCTTTCTACATATTAAATAGATTTAGTATGTACGATAACTTGCGAGAGTAATGACATGACATGTAGCACGATATTGAGATATACAATATACCTAAGAAAGAAGTATTATGAATACATTAAGTATAAAACAACATGGATATCTAATTAGTTTAAAATACAGAGTAACTATTGTTATGTTATTAATGCCTATGATAGAGTATGATAGGATATCAACAGATTAGAAACAGTTACATTAACTATGTTGACATACAGGTTGAACATGAGAACACATACCATGTTATACATATAAACAGTGTAATGGTATTGCTGAGTTTGTTGCTAATTCACAGTAAATTAGTCAAACTTACTGTTCAGTTTTGTGTGTTTGTTCTACGTGAATTGAATTGAAGAATTGTTATTATTTCTTTACATAGGTACACATATATGTTTGATGATCCCATTTCAGATAAATGACAATCACAGGCATAGTCCAGGTATATGTCTTGATTGTGGTTATAGTCCCAAATTGAGATACTGTCATATATATATTATATTGGTTGATACTTTGATATGTGTTTATTAATGAATTAATAAAGCATATTAATATAGATAGACACAGTATATTGTTGACATAAACTGATACAAGCTACATAACATGTTATATTTCATAATATTACATATTAAAGACATTTTAGATGCTATCTCATGATTAGCTGTGAAGCTCAGTGAAAATAGTACTTAACTCTGATAGTACAATTATTATATTTATTTCTTGCTGTGTTTTGAATTTTATAAATGTATATATATATATATAGCAATGGCTAACAATTGGTAGTAAACTCCAATGTTAAAAACTGAATAACTGTAAACTATTATTATTAATAGTTCCTTATTTAATTATTAATTAGTATAAAATCCAATTGAGATCTATTAGGATCCTCAAGGTTATCATAATCATATGATATTGATTATTAATGTGTTGAAAAAGCACCTAGAGATGATATCCAATTCCTCAAAGGTGTCATATTATGCTGGAATTATATATTATATGTATGCTCATATTGAATGTATTATATGTTTGAGCAATTGGTTCACTTCTTTGATGCTTCTCTTGAAATTCATTAGAATGGCCCTTAGCAGCCATTGTTGATCAATAAAGGTACTTAAAGATCCTGTAGAGGTACCTGTAGCTATGTACATTTGTCATTGGAGACAATGTTTAGTAAGTGATTGTTGGAATTTATAAGCACCCAATTAATATGTGACATGTTAGAAAGTGATAGATTACAGGTAAGACTATTCTTACATGGTTCAGTTTTGTAAACTATGAAGTTGTCTTTTAACCTAAAGAAAGGCTTTTGGTAAAGCCAGAAATGGATGTTGTTGGGTCTTGATTGTACAAAAGACCTGTTGACTTTAGTTTAGTTTTATAATTTATGAAGTTGTCTTTTAACCTAAAGAAAAGCTTTTGGTAAAGCCAGAAATGAATGTTGTTGGCTCTTGATTGTATTATTGATTATACAAGAAACCTGTTGAATTTTCTAAACAATACTTGAGCAACAAGTTTGTCTTTAAATTTACTATTAGTGTTATGAATATGAATAAAAGTTTTTGGAAATAAGTTAATATTTGTGTACATACAGAATGTTTGGATATATATATTGAGTTGCAACAGTGAGAGTATTTGCCTTTTGATGAGTTATAACTCTCCATACAGTAAATTGCACAAAATGTCATGATTTTATAATATGAATATGTACAACATAAGACAATTGTTATCACAATAATGAAAATAGACTATTGTAATATATTGCAATGTATTGCTATATTGTCCAATCTTGTGTACTGCATAAGCTAATGAACTGAAGATTTGCTGCAAGGATCTGAGCTTAAGTTATCCATTGAGTTTTATTATTTAGTGTCATTTGTAGAATGACAGTACTAAGAAACTATAAAGTGGACAGATTCATTGTTAAATCTGTATTGGAATTGAAATGTCAACCAAGGAGGAAATCATAATTGTTTAAATTCAAATTGTATTATATATTTGTGAAGTACAGATAATAAAAAATAGAATATATAAAATATATTATTGAATATTAATATAAATAAATGTATATCAGAAGATGATAATAACTGATTTAAAGCATTCATGAGTTAATAATGAACTCATCTTGAAGTTAGCACATGGATTGTGTCAAACAGTGTGGTCTAGAATTGTGAAATTTGGATAATAAACTTTATAATTCAGATATTATGGCAGAGGGATGGAAATAAATGAGTGCATAGCACTCTTTTGTTTTGTTGTATATAGGTATGGACAGATGGGAGAGAATTAAGTGAATACATGTAAACTGTGATATGGTGAAATAGAGGAGAAAGGAAAATTGGATACTATTTTTAAATGGTTTATGTAACTTACCTTTTATGTATTTGTATACTACAGGATTAT